CCCAGTCGGGAGCCTACTTAGCGAGACTTGCTGTTGGTAAGTGTGGTGAGTGTCGGTCACACCAGCCGTCTGCGCCCTCCCCCATATTCAGCCTTCCTGACTCTGTCTTGTCAACCGGGTCCCGGTGCGAGAGTCGTCAGAGAGTGGGGTGGATTCTCCGCGAGTCTGCCTTCGTTGTATATCTCGCGGAAGTCATAGCGTTGATGCAATTTGTTGAGGCTCCTGGTGGACACCGTCGAAACCAACGGTGGAACCGTCGTCGTCGTCCGCCGTTGAGTCGGTGAACGGAGGCAGTTTGGTTGGCTACGTTTCGCACGACGAGTTGGGTGCCGGAACGGTTTAAACTCTTTAACCGTGGTTCCACTGTATATATTTTTATTTTTAATGTTCTGCAGATAGTGTGATTAATTGTTGCTTGCTTTTGTTAAGTAACTTTTCGTTTAATCAACTGCTTTTAGAATATATCAAAGTTAATACCGAATAAGTGTAAGCCTACTATGGGACTTTGGGCCTGTGATCATAAAGCATCATGCATACGCATTTATTAATTATGCTTGTAAAATATAAACCATGGTCTACATCCTTCGCAACATTTTAGGGGTGCTGTGTCACAGGGAGAAATAAGTGATATTCCTCAGGGACAACGTATAGAGCATAGAGGTTGGAAACTCCGAGTGTAAGGGCAACGGCCGACCAAATGTAAAATTATTTGGGGATTTAAATGTTTTTTTTTTCAAACGTGAAAGATATCCTTTTTTAAGGTCAAAAATATGTGTAGAATACACTATTCACTACAGTATGATGAGCACAATAAAGAATAATTTTGTGCATGAGTTCTGTAAACTAAATTCGAATTTATAAAAACAACGAGAATCAACGGTGAAACTGCATACTAGATAAATAGCAATTTTTTTCACAACTCGTAGTTTTTTGTAGGTGACCAGAATAGGACTACTGCAGAAGCCAGCACTCTGCCATGACTGAACCATTTTAGGATTATACTTCACGATTCTTGATACCACAAACCTACTTGAGTAATATGTTCAAATCGAAAACATATTTTAATAACACTTCACAAAATAGCACATCTATTTTTCGAGTACTCATCAGCTGCATAACATTCGAGACGAGTGAAAAAACACAAAAATTGAATTCGTACAGAAAAAATCGATGCAAAAACAAGTTCACACTAAATTGCCACGTGGATGAATGTTAGCAACCTTAAACACACTGCGGGAAGCGGCCCTTGCACGGCGGGTGAAATCCTTCAACCTGTGTAAACAATTTGAGCAGGTGGTTACCTTGGTAACATCCAGATCCTACATTTACACACTCCTCCCCCTGTTTTTTGTCTTAACGTTTTCCTTCCACCTTTGCTTCCCATGGAGTGCTTTAGGTTGCTAACTCTCACGCTTTCTTCATGCAGCGAGAGACGGCAACCGACCAGCACTCGTGAACTTTCTTGATTCCAATAAATTCTGCGGTACTTGCATGCTTTAAATTCCCACCAGGGAAAGAATGCTTAAAACCACATCCATTGTATAAGGTGCCTGGGTGAAGCTAAATTAGCCTCCTCTTACTGAATTAAACTTGGCATGAGGGTATTCGACGTAATTGACTTCCAGGACAGGTTCTCAAAGTTTTGGGAGTTAAGAGACGCATGGGAGGCAGTGCCAGGGTAAGTGCGTATGAATTGTTTAATTTGCCTTTAGTTTTATTCTCATCGAGGAATCTAAATCCGATAGCTTGTTGAGCCAAGTAAACAGAGGCTTGGATAAAGAAGAGGGGTTGTCGGGCTCCGCATCAATTTTTTTATTATTCTGAGCTTTCGAAAGCTCAGGATAGTAAACAACAACCCCTCTTCCTCATCCATGCAAATACCTGGAACGCAAACATTTTCATTCATTTATAAACAGGAGCTATTATTTGCTCTCTGCTCTTTTCTTCTCCGGAGTTAACTAGCCAGGTGCAGTATTGGCCAAACCATTCGCTTTCCATAAGCAAAAGAAAAAAGCAAATACCGAATAACAATGAATAAATAATTATTGTTAATAAAATAATTAAGCCATCCCAAGCTGTTGGACAGTGTTTGACCAAAAATTGCGGGCGTTGCCTGGGAGGAGTTGATTTTCTGTCTGAGAAATCACTCAAGCAGGCCCGTTATCTGCAAACACAGGATTCCTGTTGCTGTAATTACAGGAAAGCATGACTGTTCTGGCCAGAGTGTTGTTACAAGCTACAATACTACAGCATATAGTGGTGGAGAAGTAGCGATTCGAAAATGTGGACAGTAAGTCATCAAAGTGAAGACGTAGCGATCAAAGATGTCATGTGCCGGGCGATTTCTCCGGCGGTTCATGCGAGTGTTTGTGGAAGTCCGCGCTCAGCATCACTGTGCTGATTCATCTTGCCTTCGCTAGCCAAGCCTTGTGTACTTGCGTGTAACAGCCTCCACCGCACGCTCTTGGTCAATTGTTGCTAGAGACGCCCGCTTTATCCTGTCCACCTTTACGCACTCGATGGATTTGCTGCTTAGCCATGCATGAGCTCAAAGCCAATCAATGCGCGCCGTTCCATTGATTGGCTGAAAGCGACAGAGGACACCTCTCGGAGCCAAGTAAACTCCATAGTGGACATGGACTGACACAACTTGCCTGAAGATACACCTAAAGCTTGGTGGAGCCCTTTGTAAAGTTCTTTTATCGCAGAAAATAAAGCTGTCCCAACCAATTCTGTCTTCTGATTTGGGAAACCTTCGTTTTGTCGACACAACCACTTCGAACTTATGACGTTTAACGGCAGATGAAGAGAAACAGGATGTTTATTACTGGCCACAAACATCATCGAGAATGTGGCCGTATGCCCACTAAATGACTTGTCCAGCCTTCACCTCACTGAGCGGGATTTGCAAATTGAGTTGCCACTTTTTTCCTCCCTCCATTCACATGTAATTTTCTTATATATACGTCGGTTGGTCTTCTTCGCCCATTTTAAACCGATTTGTATCCCTCCTTGTTTATTTAAAGTACAATGAGGTCATCATTGCACGACGCTAGCGCCGTTTTGAAAACAGTCAAATTTGGCTTATATTTGACGAATTTTCCAAGAACATTTATCAATGATGTCTACAAATGCAGTCATTGACGATCGTGGATTGCTTTTGTTTTCCCTTTGTTTTGAGTTTGTGCGCCTAATTGTATTCCTTGGGAATGGAGGAAGGATATATTTTCAAAGTAAAGCATATCTCTCTCAGCAACCGAATAGCGAACTAAGAATAGCCGTGCGGTGAGAGGCCAGAAACGCGAACATCGTGCCTCATTCTTATGCTAATGGCGCTCATGGACAACTGCATAAGGGTTATTTACGCGAAAACGCTGCAAAACACTGACGAAGTTTGCAATTCCAACGAAAAATCTTCTCGGCTGTTAGATCGCCAAAAGAAATATTGCTACCATGAAAAATGTGGCGAAAGATCTCCAAGATAATTGCTAAAATGGGCAAATGTAGGTGCGATCCTTGGGACAAGAAATTTTTTTCACCTGACGTTTCGGATGCATGCCCACAACCATCATCAGAGATGGTATCAGAAAATGATGATGTGTCGTGTCTGATTATGGCTACGAGCATGAATCCGAAACTTCAGACGAATGCAGTTTTTGTCCCATCGATCCTGTCGACTTCTTCTCAACTGCTTCCTAGCAGTTTCACATTTTCGCTTCTTTTGGCAATAGATGAATGTCCCTTAACACCAGCCGTCTTAGGTGTGGCAGGGTGCTGGCACCGTCTGCACTACGCAAGAACACACACCGTTTCCTTGGAGTTGAGGCTGTGCATCTTGCATGCATTGCAGAGAGGGATTCAACGAGCCTCGCTGGTCAGGGGAGGGTTCTTGTGAGTGACGCCAGCCTTCTCGGCTGCGTGTGTTTTTTGCCATCGAAAACATTCGTAGCCCAATGAAATGCAAGATGCCGCGCAACTTGGAAATATAATACTTGTCGGTATTTATGCACACAGATACAATGATTTCCTTCTCAGAAATCTTCGAACGCAAGGAACTGTCTGGGCTAGCTTGTTAACGCCCCGACGAGCGAACGCGTGCTCCGTGTAGACGCTATTCACCGTGCTAGCAAATGCGCTTCAGCCGGGATTGCTGACAATATGATACGTAGAGTTGCGATTCGTTGAATCAGAAAACTTGTTGACACACCTTAAAGCTCAGTCAGTTGTCTAGCATTTGGAAGCGGTCTGAGCCAATCGTTCACTATACAATCCGCCAACGGCGCTCCATAATGATTCCAGCGTGCTTATTTCCTTTCTGTATCTATTAGCAACGTATAAAAGCCGAGGAGGTAGTCTTACGTAACCCAGAATCAAGAAATTGGCTAAAACTCAGACTTTGGGAATGACGTTTCCGTATACAATCGGAATTGCGATGGTGTGCGCGGGAAACCCAGAGTCTGCCCGAGGCCACTACTATTTACTGTACTCAAGGTTCTGTTCAGAAAACGTTGCTCTTTTACAAAGAGTACTTTTACAGGCGTGCTGTGGCCTGAGAACGCACTGATGGTTCCGTGGTCATTGCGGAATTAATATAAAATTTGATGGATAGATTATTTATTCATATACACTCTCCCCAACAACCTAGCAGAATGCGGTCAAAGTGATTTCAGTAGTGAATACCTCAGAGACCTCTCTTAGAAGGCGAATGTAGAGCCGTCATTCCCCACCCCTCCTCTGCTTTTGTCAGCAAACGGTGGTGAAGCCCAGTAGGCCCTACATCCTGTCTGGCGGCAAGCGAACGTTTAAAGCATCGCGCTCGAGTCGGCAGGCATCAGAGAGGACTGACAGTGTTAGGCCTCTTGATCGCTTGTTCCCGTCTCAAAGCGCCGGCTTCTAAGCCTCTCCTCCCACCTCTTTCCCAAAGTGAAGAACAGTAGCAAAGTTTCTTTTGGCAGCATTGTCGACCTTATCGCCAGCAACCTCGGCTTCTCTGATTGATTTTACATTCGGTACATAATCACATGCAAGTGCCTGGTTAAACCGGTATGTGTGCTGGGCGGGGATAGGGGTGGTGGTGGTTGTGGTGGTAGGGGGCGAGGACTCTGTCCAACAAAGAGTGTTGCCAACTCACCTCCGGGTCTGACGATGACGGGGTAGGCTGCCGAGGGTGGACCGTCACCCTTGGCGTTAGATGCACTTATGCGGATGTAGTAAGTGGCATTTGATTGCAGATGGGTGATCAAGGTGAGATGGCTGGGCGGACGGTTAGTATCAACATCTCCGGTTGAGGCTTCGTAGGGGCTCGGGGAACCAAGGGCATGGTCCACGGACAACACCTTGACCTGCCAGGTGGCCAGTGGCAGTTTGGGCTGATCCGTGTAGTACACGCGATACATCTGCATGAACATATATGTACACAAAGTATAATTATTAATGATATATGATATTATAATTTATAATAATATCAATATATTTCAATTGACCCAATTGCGAAATATTCGCGGCCGTAAAGCTGTGGTAAAGCTAGGCAAACAAATAGACCCAAGCTTGATTAAATTCACGGCACACATGGTGAGCCTTGTAGCTCAAACTATAGAGCGCTGGCTGCGAAAAAGCCTTCCCTGTTGTATAGGTTCGATTTCCACCGAGGCCGCGAATTTTTCACAATTGGGTTATCTGAAAAATCTCTGAAATTCTGTAGCGGTAAGTATACCCTTGGCGAAGTCCATTCGCTCGTTTGCCTTAAGCCAACTCAAATCCCGGGCGGAGGGAGCTGATTTTCCTCAGCAAGCTACTCCCACCGCTCCCCGCTCCCCCCTCACCCAACCTTTTGCTGCCGCTACACTCTG